GCTGCGGTGAGACTGGCCATCAGAAGCGCGACTGTCCCAAGGGTTCCGGCGGTCAGGCCTGTCACAACTGCGGCGAGACGGGGTACGTTGTTCGATAGTGTATCAGAGAGTTCATACTAACTTCTATCCAGTCATCGCAAAGCCGACTGTCCTGAGCCTCCTAAGCCCAGGGGCGGCGGTGGAGGAGGAGGCAGTGACCGTTTGTGCTTCAACTGCAACCAGCTTGGGTACGTGTTTCCTCTCTTGATGACATCAGCGCCACATTTGTCTATTTTGCTCAAACCATCTGCTAACTCTTGCTCAGTCACAACAAGTCTGATTGCCCCGAGCCTCGCACCGGTGGAGGAGGCGGAGGCGGAGGCGGACGTGCATGCCACAACTGCGGCGAAGAAGGCCACATGTCCCGCGAATGTGACAAGCCTCGCGTTATGAAATGCCGCAACTGTGATGAGGAGGGCCACGCTGCTCGTGAATGTACCAAACCACGCGATTGGACCCGAGTTCAGTGCCGCAACTGCAACAACTATGGTCACGGCGAGAAGCGTTGCCCTGAGCCCATTGCCAAGACCACCGGTGGTGATTGGGGTAACGATGCTGTTGATGCTGCTTCGAGTGGTGGGACTGGTGAATGGGCTAATGCTCTCACAACGACGGCGACGACGGGAAGCTGGGCTGACGACACCACTGCTGCTGCAGAGAACAACGACTGGGGCAACACGACTGCTTCTACGATGTGGTAAACCGCTCCAGTGGCTCTGGTGCTTGTTAGCGACGACTATTCAGCTTCGCTCAACATACGCATTTTCTTTGAGGGCAGTGGTTGTCATGGTACTGAAGGAAACAGGTGGTGGATGGAGATGTACCCGAGATTCAGCTGAGTTCGACATTGACAACCATACCAAGGTCGGAGTGGGGGAATCATTTGCGCGTGTCTACTCTTATTTAAAGCGTAGCAAAATCGCGTACAGGATAGGTAGTGGGCATGTATGAAGTACTTTTCAAGGGATTAATAAATGCAATGGCATGGTCAGACAGACAAACAGAAAACGTCTATATTCTACTAATGTGACACGAGGTTTTTTGTAGGCCCATCTCTACCCTAAGCAACACCCAATCGCAGACTGACAGCTCGCCGGTGAGCCTCTAGCTCTTCGACACGTGCTAGCTCCATGACAGCAGGACCGACGTTTTCGAGACCCTGGCGGGTAAGGTGGGAGCTAGTAATGTGCTTGACGTAGGATGCGAGATTGACACCCGAGTACTGCTTAGCGTAGCCATACGTTGCTATTAGAAAGATTGAATTAGCCACAAATCCCTCCCAAAAAAAGTTTCCGTAACAAAGAAAAAGAAAAGGGGGAATGTAGGCGAAACTTACGTAGAGAGTGGTTGACACCCGCAGAGTAGTCACCCACACTTTCCGGGGTCCATTCACCAATAAAGACACTTCCTGCGTTCTCGACCATCTCGGCAACCTTTTCTGCGTTTTCGACTTGCAAGATGAGATGCTCAGGGGCATACTGGTTGCTTAGCTGCATGGCCTCGTCCATGGTGGCAACAGAGAGGGTAAAGGAGTGCTCGATAGCGCCACGCACGATATCCACGCGCGGCAGAGCCATGGCCTGCTTGTGTAGCTCGTCTTCAATAGCCGTGAGCTGAGCGTCGTTGAGCCCGACAGCGATCAGGATGACTTGCGAGTCGACGCCGTGCTCGGCCTGGCTGAGGAGATCTGAAGCGACGAAAGCTGGGTTTGCCGATGCATCGGCGATAACGAGCACTTCGCTTGGTCCTGCAGGCATGTCGATGCTGACGCCAGCGTTTGTGTCGTTGGATACGTGCATTTTGGCCGCTGTAACGAACTGGTTGCCCGGACCCAGGATCTTGTCTACCTTTGTCACGCTCTCGGTGCCGTACGCCATTGCTGCTACGGCTTGCGCACCGCCGGCAAGAACGATGGATTCTGCGCCGACCTTGTGCGCGACATAGACAACTTCGGGAGTCACTTTCCCGTTTGACCGTGGTGGTGTGGCGAGAACAATCTTCTTGCAGCCAGCTACCATGGCGGGCACGCCCAGCATGAGCGCTGTAGATGGAAGCACAGCAGTGCCACCAGGTACGTACAGGCCCACTCTCTCAATAGGGCGTGCGAATCGAGAACATACAATGCCTGGCATAGTTTCGACTCGCAGAGGCTTGTCTTCCTTTTGGGCAGCGTGGAACTTTCTGATGTTTTCAAAAGACACATCAATGGCTTTGGCCGTCTCTGGTGCCAGTTGCATGAGCTCGGGAGGGAAGGGCGCCTTGAGCACGGGTGAAGTTAATGATGTTGCCTTTTCGAACTTGTGCGTGTACTCGAGTAAAGCAGCATCACCGCGAGTCTTGACAGCTTCGATAATGGGTCGGCAGATGCCCAGAATCTTGTCGGTTGAGCGTTGAGATGGACGCTGCAGCGCAGCAGCAATAGTCTCTGGGGTTTCGTTGGCAGTAACGTAGCGCTTCATGGCGATGCGGCCGTCCTTTGTACCGGCCGGATCGTCTTTGCTCTTAGGTACTGAAGCGGCTTCCTTGACAATCTCTTTGGTGGTTGAGTCGTTTGACGCGCCATTTGTTGCTGCTTGCGCGGCAAAGGCTGGCTTTGCGTCGCCTTGCCGCCTCTTGACTTTGATGCTCTTAGCATCAAGATTGCGCTCAACGTCTTCCAATGATACACCAGCAGCAATACATTTGGTCAGGGCAAAGTAGAAGAGATCGGCAGCCTCAAATGCCACTTCTTCCTTGGTGTTTGCATCGCAGAGCTCGGTAGCTTCCTCTAGTATCTTGGCCCTCAGTAGCTGTGCGTCGTTGAACAGGCGGGCGGTATATGAGCCTTCCGGGGCCGACTCCTTGCGGCTTTGCAGTGTCTTCTGCAACTTGGACAGGCCGCTATAGTCGCCGAAGCAAGTAGGTGTCGCAAGGTGGCAGAAGCCCCGGCCTTTTTGGCGAACGACAAACTGCAAGCAATCACTGTCGCAATCCAACGACAATGACACAAGCTCTTGAACGTCGCCGCTGCTCTCGCCCTTGTACCACAGACCCCGCTTTCGGCTCTGGTATACGCCCCGGCCAGTCTTCAGACTCTCGGCTACGCTCTCTTCACTGCTGTACACAAGTCCAAGGGCGACGCCCCGCTCGTCGGTCACGAGAGTGGTGAACAGGCCATCGGGTCGGTCGCTTGTCGCATTGGCCATGAGCAGCTTAGCGACGCTCAATGCGCCAGTCTGTTTCGCGGGATCGACGGTAAGCTTCTCGGCGGCCACGATGGGTACGGCGGGCATGCTTGCGAGCGCAAGCACCTTCTCGGTGTCTGGGTTTGCGAACGAGACGAAAGCGTTCGTCTTGCCGCCATTGAGCGCTGCCTGCACCTGATCGATATTTTCAACCTGTTCCAAGTAGACAGTGGCCTGCGCATTCACATCGCCATCTGAAGTAGTGTTTCCAGGCAAACATAGGACTGTCCTGTTCTGGTCGATGTTCAAGGCTTTGAGCTGGTCCAACTGCTGGCGAGTGACAAAGACGCTTGCGGCGCCGGCATCGAGGATGGAAACAACGTCGTCAATGGATGCGAGCGAGGATACATGGACATAGTTGGCGAAGCGGCCCACCGACTGCTTCAGGTGGGAGAGGGCATTGTCGACGCTGTCATCGGTGACTCGGAAGAAGACATTTCCAACAAAAGACAGGGCCTGGACATCAAGACCCTGGGTCTGTTGCTTGTACGTGGCCAGGTCAATGGCAGCAACCAGAGCGGGCGCCATGTCGAGCAATATTTCTGCAATTGGTACTTTGAATGCGCGCGCAATTGCAGCAGCAGCAGCGGAGTCAGTCGGGTTTGAGTCGATTACTGGAAAAAAAGTCTAGGTGTACTAGACTAGCTGGCCCGAAATGGATGAGCCGCGGGGTTGAGTCCGATGTGCCCCGCCATTGTCCATGACGCCACTCGAAGCAGAAGCAGCAGCAGTGCTTGTCCGTATTGTATTCAATGCTGACATCATCAATGTTTATTACAAGCTATTGCCTTCCCACCAGTTCGTCCGAAAGAACGGATGAATGGACGTATTTACCGTTAAGCTGCTGGGTGCATGTAACCAATCTAACCAATCCTGCCAAAATACCTTGATCCAAAGAGGGGCAGCCCTAGTAGACGACGTACATGACTGGGTACAGAGTGTTATGATGCTTTGCTATACTTCGTATCTCCGTACATCAGATTGAACATGCAGCATGTGCATGTGCAACTTCGGACGAGATAATTCGCATCTAGCTGCATGTGTGCTGACGTGTGAACTCTCTTTTTCGGTTAACCGATTAAGCTAGAGGTAAACTCATCCAGATCCAACAGTATGAAGCCCACTTGGGATCTGAGTTACTAGTGCAACAGTACTCCTAGTAGTATGTATCATCTTTAAAATTTACTTGGAAATAGTAGATCCTTAGCTAGCATAGTTGTTGAATATAGTCAGTTTATCTTTAAAAAAAAACCCCCACCCCACCCAATTTTGTGGTGGTGCTGGTGTTTCGTTGTAAAGGTGGCTCGTTTGGATGGGCTGGCCTGGGTTCTCCAGTCTTACTACCGGTCGGCCAAGAGATTGTCCCCAGTACCCTGCAGGCATATACAGCTGGCTATACGCGGATGTGCAAGGCGGGGCATCTCGCCTTGTCCTCAAATACCCAGGCATGCCTTTCCAAAATCTGCCAAACATATTCCATTCCTCATCACAAACATGTCTTACTCTCCACCAGACTCGGCCAAGCCATTTACGCTCAACATCTCGGACCAGGACCTGTCCGAGTGGAGACAGCTTCTGCAGCTCTCCAAGCTTCCGCCAGCAACATAGGAGGGGCGGCAAGAAGATGGTCGCTTTGGGGTATCACGCAAATGGGTTTCCGAGACAAAGGATTACTGGCTTAACCAATATGACTGGCGTGCTGCAGAAAAGCACATCAACTCTTTCCCAAACTATAGGATGCAGATTGAAAATGTCGATTTGCATTTTGTCGCTCTCTTCTCTGAGAAGAAGGATGCAATTCCTCTGATACTCATGCATGGATGGCCTGGCAGCTTCATCGAGTTCCTGCCCATGCTCAGCATCATCAGAAAAAGGTATTCGACCAAGGATTTGCCGTACCACATTGTCGTGCCGTCATTGCCTGGCTACACTCTTAGCACCATACAAACTCACGACAAAGAGTGGGGCGTCGAGGATTCCAGTCGTGTTATGAATCAGCTCATGGTGAACCTGGGGTTTGACAGATATCTTGGTCAGGGAGGAGACGTGGGCCAATTCACGGCGCAAATCATGGCTAGAGAATATGAGGCCTGCGTTGGAATACACTGTAAGTGGTCGGCCAATCGTTCGCTGCTCGAGTATTCACATGGTCAGTGAATATGATTGTTACTTTCCCCCCTCTGGGCGAGGAGACGGTCGTGGATGCATTCGAGAAAGAGAGGGTTGAGTTTACGCAGAAGTGGAGGGCGACTGGCGTAGGTTATGCTCTCGAACACGGCACAAGGACGAGCACCATTGGGAGCGTTCTGGCGTCGAATCCATTGGCGATGTTGGCATGGTGTGTGTTTGTGAATTCCGGTACATGTACGCAGACTGACATTTGGCAGGATTGGCGAGAAGATGCTGGAATGGTCGGATGAGGATCCATCGCTGGATGAGATTCTAACCAACATTTCCTTGTACTGGTTTACAAGTTGCTTCCCCTCGTGCCTCTATATTTACCGCCAGATGTCCAGCGGCAGCTTGGTTACGCAATGGAAGTTCACCAACAAACCCTTGGGCTACTCAGTCTTCCCAAAGGAGATGGGCGTGGGCGTCAAGAGCATCTTGGAAAAGGAGAGCAATCTGGTCTCGTACAAGCGCCACGAACGGGGTGGGCACTTTGCGGCTCTGGAGCGGCCAGCAGATCTGTGGGAGGACATTGAGGGGTTTGTTAGCAAGGCCTGGAAGGTATGAGAGGGTCGAGGTGCATGTCACCCATGGCGGCAAGGTGGGCCGACTGACTCGTTGCAGGATTGTCGGGCAGTGTCGAGATTGTAGCCAGTCGGCAGTTGTCTTGTACATGGGCCAGGCGGTGCATAGGGGAGGATTGCGTGGAAGTGCATTGGGTGCTAAAAGCAGGTCCGGGTATGTGCCATAAGAAGCTAGCCTCGTCGTGGTAAGGTGAACGCCACAGTCGATGCAGCTATTCGCTGTGCCGCATGGATAGAGTTTTGACACGTCGGATTGTATCGCAATTTGCAAGTGACCATGGCCATTCCACATGGCGACTGGAAAAACCCGCATTGGTGGTGGCGGCTGGTGTTTTGGTAGGCTACTGCTGCCGTGCGAGTGTGTATGTGGGCGTGCGAGGGCACTGGGCCAAGCGGATCGTGTGCGCGTGCCGGCTGGATAGAGGCCGGTGCATGACGCAACGTGCATTACCCGCCCCCACCCCTCCACCTGCTCTTCTCCTCTTTTCCCCCCCGCCATTCTCCGCACTCTTCGCCTGTGCCTGTGCCTGTCCTTGTTCCTGGCAATTGCGCCGACCGACTCCGCTTTTGCAGAGCAGAGTACGTACTTGGGCACCACGGTCCAACGGGCCTGCGTCGGTGCGGGGGCCGACGACTGTTGCTGTAGTCGCATGAGTCGCTCGACGGACTAGCATGACTTCAGCCTCTGCCGCCGGGGCCAAGCTACCGTAGTCCCTCGACTACCACGTACATGCAGACTACACATCTATGTTGCCTCCGCCGCGGCTCGCTTGGCTGGCCTGCCCACAGTCCAGTCGAGTACGGTACGCATTGGGGCGCAATCTCTTCAGAAACCGAGCGAGCTCGGGAATGGCCAAGCAGAGGGCCCGTCGCCGACTTGGTAGCAATGCTCGCGCCAGAACAAAGGTTGCCACCAGAGCCAACATGGTAGTCCATAGTCCATAGCTGTACTTGCTACGTACAGTACAAGACATCGATCCTATCGGCCCAGCTCGCCATGGTGGGTCCCGGGCCACAGCTAGCTCATTACGCAGTCAATATGCATATGCGGCATGCAACACGAGTTCCCCAGCTTCCAGGTCCTGGCCTGGCCTGTCCTGTCCTGCATGCGCATGTGCGTGTTCCGGCGAGTGTGTTGACGTTGTTTTTTAGCCGCCGCGCCAACCTGATGCCACGCTATGTCCCTGCATCCGTCCCGATCCAAACTAGGCCCCCGCGTTGGCCCTGCACTTTTATCCTGCCTCTCTCAATTGGCAACCCTGCCGCTAGTAATCTGCCGTGCATGCCACCCAGCTTCGGACAGCGATAAAAGACGGCGTCCGGCCCAGCACTTCATGTCGACGCAGCAGAGCCGTTCTTCATCCCTCATCTTTCAACATGAAGCTCAAACAATCTCTCAAGGCCACGCTACTTGGCGCCTCACCAGCTCTTGCCTATCCCCAAGCTGGAGCTTCTGGTGACTTTAGCTCAAAATGTGCCGATCTAGCCTCCAGTCTTAAGATTGAAGGTGGTGTCGTTACCACTGCCGAGTTCGTCACTGCTGGTACCAACTTCACCATACCCGTTTACGACCCAACATGTGTCAGCGGCGGAGCAACAAGTCAAGCCATTGGGGCCGACCTGTGCCGTGTTGCACTCTACGTTGCCACTTCTGAGCGATCAGGATTCAACATGGAGGCCTGGCTGCCATCCAACTGGACAGGCAGATTCATCGCCCACGGCAACGGCGGTCTGAATGGATGCATCGATTTTTCCGACTTGGCCTACACATCCCAGCTAGGTTTCGCCGCCATCGGAACCAACAACGGCCACAATGGAACGAGTGGCCTGCCCTTCTACAAGAACCCAGACGTTGTAGAGGACTTTGCCTACCGAGCGTAAGTCACCTTCCCCACAAACTCAAGCACCCAAGCTAAATACTCCAGTCTACACAATGGTGCTGCCGTCGGCAAGCAAATCGTTAGCGACTTTTATGGCAAGCCACAGGACAAATCCTACTATCTTGGATGTTCAACTGGCGGACGACAAGGCTTCAAGATGGCCCAGGATTTTGCAGATGAATGGGATGGTATCCTTGCCGGAGCCCCTGCAATTGCCTTCGACAATCTTACTTCGTGGTCCGGTCACTTCTACACCCTCACCGGCCCACCCAGCTCCCCGACTTTTGTCTCAGCGGCAAAGTGGGCGCAGGTTCATGCCGACGTCTTGGCCCAATGTGACAAGATCGACAATCTCCAAGACGGTATTCTCGAAGATCCATTGCTTTGCAAGTATGATCCCTCGGGTCTGGCTTGCGACCAAGGCACCAACTCTACCACCTGTCTGACGCCTGATGAGCTCGCCACGGTGATTGGTGTTTACTCGCCACTCACCAACGCCCAAGGCGATTTGGTTTACCCGCGCCTACAGCCTGGAGCCGAGCTCTCTGCCATTTACGTGCTCTTTACCGGATCCCCTTTCCCTTACACTACTGATTGGTTCCGCTATGCTATCTACAACGACCCCACTTGGGATCCTGCCACATTGGACTCTGATGACTACAACAACGCTGCACGAATCAACCCCTTTAATATCCAAACGTTCGAGGGCGATCTTAGCAACGCACAGAAGAGTGGTACCAAGATCCTACACTGGCACGGCACCAGCGACTTCATCATCTCTAGCGATAACAGCGCGAGGTACTACAACCATGTCAGCTCTACCATGGGCCTGCCACCCAAGAAGCTCGATGAATTTTACCGTTACTTCCATGTCAGTGGCACCGGTCACTGCAGTGGAGGAAATGGTGCCCATGCCATTGGCCAACAACTTGGCGAAATCAATGGCTACGACCCCGAACACAACGTTCTCATGGCCTTGGTACAGTGGGTAGAAAAGGGCAAAGCACCCGAAACCCTTACCGGTACCAAATTCGTCAACGACACCGTCTCTCTCGGTGTTGATTTCGAGCGCGCGCATTGCAAGTTCCCCAAGAGCAACCGATACAAGGGCAAGGGTGACCCCAAGCTCGCCAAGAACTGGGAGTGCATTGAGATGGGAGACATGTAGTTTTAACTAATGTCTTGATGCTATGCAGGGCAAAGAGCTATAGATACACAGAATTTCTGTTTTATAATGAAAGTCATAAGCCCGATTATCTTCAATGCAAAGTTACTCTTGTTTTTTTTTTCCAAATATTTTGGCAAGCATGTTTCGTTTGATGGTGAATGAAATAGAGTCCTGACATACTACGGACCGCACCGCTTAATAGCGGGTCCCGAGCCTGCTCTCTCAGGTGCACGTTGTCGTTCGGCCGCAGCCTGACGAGACGTGCGTTCCAGGGTGCGTGTCATTTTTTGTGAAGCATAAGCCGAGGTCCATCGGACTATTACAATACAGTGCTACTAGTTTGAAAGCAGAAGGCGCCGGAATTTGAACACGCCCGCGGAAGCACTCAAGGGCTTGAAAAAAAAGTGTGCATTTTCGGTGTTTATTAGAGTAGCCGGGGGGGGTGCGGTTGCATGAGATACTATAGGAGCGGCGGTATTATTTGGCATGGGTCAAGGTTTCTCTCAACTGACTGTCGGGCCCGAATACCTATTCTGTACATTCCCGTCTTGTCCGTCCGTGCAACTGTATGCAAAATTTCAGGAGCGCTGCCACTTTGTTTCGCAGACAAGAGCTTGTTTCACACAAGTGATATGGTGCCTGTCTATCTCCAAGTGAATCCTATAATGCATGTAAGCTAATGATTGAGGGCCAACCCAGCGACTTATCAACAAAGTCAAAGACGACTATGTACGATTTTGCAGGCATCACTGCAAGGGCAAGCAACGTGGCCAATTTGCTTATGGATACATTATCCCGCAGTTACGGGGTTTCCCGGATCATCGGATAGTGTCCAAATAGGCCCTACTACGCATACGTTTTACCCCGCAAACAGTTCGCGGCGCCATGGCGGAGATGAGAATTTCCAAGCGATTAGTACCCTGGGCCCTCCGGTATCAGGCGCCAGGATCAAAGGAAGAAAAAAAAGGCTGAAGCGTGGCTTATACACAAGAAACAATCCTCCAGCTCTAGTATATAAAAAGGCTGCTTATCGCGCGTTTAAAATTGCCATTCAGCGGTACAACAGTTTATTACCACCTTCCCAAATCCCTTCATTACTTCCCTTTTCCCCTCTTCCCTCGGATCCCGATAGTCTGGTCCAACCCCATCCAAGAAAAACCTTGTATTCTGCATACGTACACTAGTATCGTGTTAAACCATGCGCTTCACCATCCCCATTGCACTTCTTGCATCCGCATCGGCAGCACTACCAGCGCCCGCAACATCTTCGGGTAAACCCAGCCCGCCGGCATCATCCGCCATCCTCAAGGCCCTAGCCGGCACTTACACGCTCCTCAACACATCGAGCACGCTCAACGACGAGCCCATTCCCGACGCCACGTATGGCGCGGCCCCCGTCGGCAACCTCATCTACACAGCCTCTGGCTTCATGAGCGCCACCATCACAGCTACGGAAAAGGAATTTCGCCCCCTCGTCTCGTTCCCCTTCCTCGCCAACGAATCAGACGCCGATTGGGCGCTCGTCGGCAAGCACAGCATTGGCTACTCGGGCCCTTTTAGAATCAACACGGCCCTCCCTGCAACCGAGACCGAGGGCCAGGTATTCCATGGGCCGTTGACGGTCGCAAATGTCCCGACAATGGTGGGGCAGGAGCATAGAAGGAATTACACGATTGTGGAGCGTGAGGAGGAGGGCAAAATGGTCAAGTACTTGAAGATTGGGAGTGAGAGGGGTGGAGGGTTCCGTGGTGTGCTTTGGTGGAGGCGATTGGATTAGAAAAAGAGAGTGTGTATGCTGTGGGGTTTACTACTTAACAGTTTTTTTTTGTGCGGGTTTTGCTTTCTTTCTTTCTTTTTTTTCAAACCTGTATATGTATGCTGTGATAAAGCGATTACTGGGGCTTTAGAGGCATAGAGACGGTGGCTCTTTTTTTTTCGTCTATCATGGAACTCGATGTTATGAAATGAAAAATGCACGTCCATCACCTTCATGTTCTTGTTTTCTTTGAGTGAGCGGGGTCGCTTTTTTCCTCTCTTTCTTTTCGGGGTTGGTTCTGTTCGGACATGGATGCGAATAGCCGCGCCTCCTTACATGGTTCTCCTGGCTAGCAGAGACCTAGGCACTGCAAATCCCCGTCTTATACTGCAGGCATTGTATACCATGGTATCACCTAACTTGAACTATTGTTTTTTCTTTTTTTCGTTAAGACCAGGCGCCCAATGCATTCATTTCCGGCATGACTTTGCACACAATAGCATATTTTCTCTTCGTAACTACTTACCTTGGACGCCGAGCATAAGTGGCTGAGGATATGATACTACATCGAGTCGTGTACAGCCAGCTGCCTTTTTCAAACATGACGCGTACTCAACAAATATGTTTTTTTTCTCTTTCCGTTTATTGACAGCGTCGGAGTCAAATGCTGCATTTGGCTGTTAATTGGTAGTGCGTGTTACATCCTGCCGACATACACTCAATTGTGGAGATTAGATGTGAACGAGTGATGAAGTGTTGATATCGATAACAATAGTAGTGGTAAGTAACTAAGTACGCTTTGGTCAACCTTCAACAGGTTTCAGATTTGTTTTACGTCCTATCATCGCTACTTTCTAGTTGCCCTCGTATTCATCAATGTGCAACGGTATTGAACAGTGCGATAAAGGCTTGGCTCGTAGGAAAGTCGCATGTTATTTAGTAAAGTCTATGAGGTAGTGACTTGTGCACGGTTAGCTTGTTTGAGGTTGTGTCTGTGCGTGGATAGGTGATTGTGCGATTCTGAGTCACGTGGGCTGGATAAAGATTCTGGCGTGATATTCCTTGGGGAGTTGTATGAGGTAAGGTGTTTGTTAGATGTGAGGTGCGCAGAGCTGGCAATATTTAAATTTGTTAATTTAAAACCACGAGTTGGTTTCGTCGATTGCTGACCCTAAAGTTGGTTTGGTTGATTCGAATTAAGATGATTAAGAATAACTACATCTTATGAAAGATGGATTGCTACCCAATGTGTAGTTGTGATGGTTCGCTGCCAACAGTGAGTATACTAGGACTCGGTATTTGAAAAGCAGCTGTTCTTACATGCTTTGACATCTCGCGATTCAGGAAATTGAATCAGTTGTATTGATGGATTATGTTATTTTGAGGTCCTTGAATTTGAAAGCAGTTTCAAAACAATAAAAATTGAAAATCCGGAGGGCTGTTGTGTTTTGATTCGAAAGGCGGTCCTATGTAAGTTATCGCACATGTGGATACTACTTGTTAAGCTCGATTTGTGCTCATTTTTTTCTGAGTATTACAAGTAACAGGAAGGATTCTCTCCTTGATGAGAGACGAGGAGGCAAGGGGCCTATGGGCGTCCACGTCAGAAGGTAATGACATCGCGGGGCTTGGAGACACGTGATGTGCCATCTCTCCAATAGATGGATTTTATTATTACTCTCGTTATAGTTAACT